TTATTAACAAACTGCTTGTTTTATTTTCAGGTTTATTGGGGGAAAAAATGTCCGAATATCGATTGAAGACTGCTAAAATTACCGATGAGAGAATACGTTTAATGAACGAAATAATTTCGGGAATACAAATAATCAAAATGTACACTTGGGAAAAACCATTTGCAAAACTTATAGAACATACCAGAAAGTTTGTGATATTATTCAATTTTTTGATATAATTATGCATAATATTATACCTATTAATAATTATTTTATTTATTGATGTTGCTATAGAAAGGAAATGAAACAAATTCGAAGAACTTCATTTCTGGGAATTCTAACTTTTGCGATTCAAGTAGTTCAAGCTAAACTTCAGCTGTTCATCAGTATTTTATCATTCATGTTACTTGGAAACAATATCTCAATCAGAAAAGTAAAATACAATAAATAATCTCCTAAATGTCCGTAAATATCTCAAAATGAGTCAAAAAATTTTGAAAATATTTTCAAGTATAAATTGATAAAATAAACATTCGTTTTTTAATTAAAACAAAATAAGAAAATCGCTACATGACAAACCGAGTGGATATTATCCAATATTGTAAAACTTCAAACGCTCATAAAAATTTAATTTTACTTTCCAGTATAGACATTTCTTTTATTTTTTGATAAAAGTTCACAAGCTTATGAGGAATCTTGTGTTAAATTTTCACCTCTTTTAATGGATTTCTAACTCAAAATAATCTGAACATTTTTGTGATGTTTACATATTTTGTCAGCATTTGAACTTGAAATGCTTGTAACAAAAATGTGACAAGTATTTTAATATTTTTCAACTGCCTTTGTAATAATATATTAGAAGCGATCTATTAAATTTTCAAGATTTTTGACCCAACGAATAAAATATGACTGACATTTATAGGAAAAAAAACTAAAAAAAATTGGAAATTTAAATTTTAAACAGCACAAAACAAATCAAAATATTTTGAAAATGTTATGGTGTATAGAAAATGCTAATATAAACATTCAGTGAAAATTTCATGTGTACGGTCATTTGTCTTAGAGTTACATCAAAAACAAAAAGCCCCATTTTCCTTATTTTTGGTGCTTTTAAAAGTACTGTGCATTTTCTACTGTTGGCCTCCCCAAAGTACCAACTAGATTCAATTTTCCATTGGACAAGAAATTGAAGTTGAAAATCGAAGCATTTTTTCGACCAGTTATCACAGAGTTATCACAGAACAAGTTTAAAAAATAAAAAACACATTATTGTAAAATAGATACATTCATCGCTCCGCTCAGAATCCAGAACATAAAATAGATTAATAAAATATAGGTACATATATTTAGGTTTTTGTCTTAGCTGCATTTTTCTCTCTATTGCAACAACCAATGACGAGGTTATTCGGCCGAGGTTTAGCTCAATTAGCTGAACTGAAAATATCTCTGAAACGCATACAGGTGAATTAATAAATATAAATTCTTACAAGATTAGAAATTAAATTATATATTTTGATATATTTGTAGGTAAGGTCCATACAAATTTTTATTTATAAGAACATTTTTATAACCTTTTTGTACAGAATTTTATGTTGCTTGAAGAAAAAGATAGCAAAATCCTAAATCTTTCAACATCTGCAGTCAAACCATTAACAATTGGAGTTATAAAATCGGACATACATACAGACAATGTTGATATTAAAAAAAACACAGGATTTTTAAATAGTTTTGGTATAGTCTTTTCGAATGCTAGTGCAAAGTGGACAAACATCCAAACATGTAACACTTTGGAAAACATTAACCTGAATATCATACCAGGACGATTGGTGGCAATTATCGGACCAGTAGGAGCCGGAAAAGTACATAAAATCTATATAAATAATTATTTCTATTTACCTTAATAATCGTAAAATAAATGGTTACAGAGTTCATTATTACAAGCAGTCTTACGCGAATTGCCACTTTCCTCGGGTAAAATATCCGTTTGTGGTAAAGTGTCTTATGCATCACAAGAACCATGGCTGTTTGCCGGTACTGTTCAACAAAATATACTTTTTGGTTTGCCGATGGACAAAGAGCGTTATAACCAAGTATAAATTACAAATTATAATATAAATATATAATATACCTAGGTAAAATATTCGAAATAATATATATCTTTCAATTTGGTGATGAATTAGGTTATAAGTGTATGTGCATTAAAAATCGATTTTAAACAATTTCCACATGGTGACAGAACTTTGGTGGGAGAAAGAGGAGTTACTCTAAGTGGGGGCCAGAGATCGAGAATAAATGTAGCTAGGTGAGTAACAGTTAGAAAACAAATTGTAAATGATACCTTCAGTGTTTTCGATTTTTAGAGCAATATACAAACAAGCAGATATATATTTACTGGACGATCCTTTGTCGGCCGTTGATTCTAAAGTTGGCAGGCACTTGTTTGAGAAATGCATCAAAGGTATAAGGTATTGAATTTTTTTTTTAATTACAAACAAATTACAACATTTACAACCATTTTATTTCTGTTTAATAGATTATCTCAAAGAAAAAACATGCGTTCTTATTACTCACCAAGTACAATACTTAACTGATGTCGATCAAATAATTCTAATGGACAATGTTAGTATAAAAAATACGCTAGCAATTACAACAGAAAACCTTAAATAATAAATAAATTGCGCCGGGGTGAATATTGATGGATACAAATACTAAAATATGTAGTATGAGGACTCAAAGATAATCAAACTACACGAGTGGTACACAATAAAATATAATATAGTTATAAATACTTATAATACTGTAAGTGCTGCAACAAACATTTATCATGTTCATGAAGTTGGCCCTCAACTTTGTCCGAAAATAAGCCAATATTTCGGATATTAATTGCAAATTGATTTTTAAATTTGCAAATAAGTCATTCAAATATTATAGAACACAATGTTTAGTTATTCAGTATTCAACCATACGTAAAAGTTATTTACACGTGGAGGCTTTTTCTGTACGAACCGTGGCTTCCTTCGACCCGGCGCAGCCAGGCAAATACGTTTCCAAACGATGTGGCATTTGTTTTTCGATTATTATGATTTTAAAAATATATAAGAAAAATAATATTTATTATATATTATAATATAATATAATTAATTTTTTACATATACAGTATACTATGTAATAGTTTAAAAAACCTATAATCTTTATGTGTTGTACACTAAAACTAAGATACAATTTGACCGAGATAGTAGATACACACCTGTATACTAAAACTGAGATCACTCTGACCGATATACATCTATATAATAATATAATAAAAATTTGTATTGTCAGTTAAAATTTTGTACAGGTGAAAAATATACAAAAAGAGAAAATAAAACTATCATTGCCCTTCTCAGTGGAACCTCTTATCGAAGGGCAAGAATACTTATAACTACATTTGGTGAGAGACAAAATAATAAAACATATAATGGTTATTAATTAAATTCTACAGTAACCTACTAATACTAAAGATAAATAAATTAAAAAAGAAAAACAAATTCTAAAAAAAGAAAAAAGAGGAGGATACATTTTTAAAGACGGTTTAAAAGCAATATAACAGCTATAAGGATAAAAATATAAAATTATTGTTGAACAAAGTTAAATAATAAAGTATTTTTTTTTTTTATAAATTATTATAAAACAAGTTTTTAAGTTTAGGTTTAAAATGAACATAGTGCAATTTAATATATATTTTTAGGGATCATAGAGATCATAGAGACCTCTAGCAAACTTGCAAATACGTATTTGGGGTTTTATTATTATTTATGAATGGTATTTCAAAAAAGGTTTTTGTTGTGTTGTACCAAAGTTTGAATTTTAGATTTTATTGCATTTGTTTTAAAGATATAGCAAATAGCTTGTTTTTTGTTTAAGTTAATTTTTAATTACAGTAACAGTTTGAATAATTCAACTAAAGGATAAGTTTTAAGTTTACATATGATTATTTTTATCAAATTTTTTTGGATTACTGCTAAGTTTGCTATTAATGTAGTGTTCGGGCGATTATTCCATACCTACTGGAATAATGATTGTACTATTGCAAAATACGTTATTCTGATTGTTTGTTTATTAAGTATTTTTACAGCGTATATTATACTATATAAGATTAAGTGCAATTGTTGTACACGATTTATAGGTACCAAAATATTTTGTGCAAAATTTGAAATCACTAATGAAAAGTAAAAACAATATTGTATATTAATATATTATATTGTTTGGATTTCTGATTTACAGGATGTTAATCCAATAACTTTTGTGTTTGTTTTCGTTTTAGGGAAGTATAATAGCTGAAGGTTCTTATCGAGAACTACAAGCCACCGCTTTTGAGTTTGCGAAGTCACTTGGATCTTCAGATGATACAGGAACAAATGAGGTAGAAAAACATACCAACAACAGTTTGAATGCACATAATATGGTGTCAACTTTGCTCGGTTCCAACAAAAGTATTTCATCGTCTCAAAATGATGTTAATATTAGTGGAGCCCTAGCTGCAAAATCAAAAAATACGGACAAAATTCGGTCGTATGGTCGTGTTTCGATCGATGTTTATCGATATTATTTATCTGCCAACGGGAGTGTTTTTAAAGTATTTTTAGTACTTTTTTGTTTTATTCTTACCCAAGTATTGGCTAGTGGTGTTGATTATTGGATTAGCTTTTGGTATTATGACAATTAAAGAATTAAAATGTATGAATTCATTTTTAGATATATATACATGTACATTTTTTAGGATAACTCGCGAAGAATACATTTTGCATAACACAATAAGCTACAATATATCAAATAATAATGGTACATTATCGTCTAGTGATTCATTCACTACATTATTGTTTTCGTCAAATTTTCGTCAAAACTGTGTGATCTTATACGCCGTTATATTATTTTTTTTGTTTGTAACCATTATCGTCAGGTGTGTGACGTACATATTGTTCTGTACGAGAGCTTCGATAAATGTGCATAATCAAATGTTCGATAGATTTATTAAGGCCACGATGTTATTTTTCAACACTAGGTCTTCTGGTAATTACCTACTTGACTCTAATTTAACTGTATCTCAAACGGTTTAAAATGAAGTATTGTATCCTATATACGTTTTTTTTTGTTTAGGTGACATGTTGAATCGTTTTTCAAAGGACATCGGAGCTGTTGACGACATGTTGCCATACGTTATATTTGATTGTTTGCAAGTAAAGTATTTTATTTAAGACTGTTATGAGCTTAATTAAAAGAGTTCAATATAAAAAATATCCTAGTATATTTTTCTCTCTCCTGGCCATCCCCCATAATCTTTATAAAAAAATAATAGAAATAATAGTATTTTTTTACATATTCATTAATATAATAAAACTATTCTCAACTTTTGATATCAAAATTATTTTTTCTCTGATAAGAGAAGATAAAAATCACGGACTAAGATCTTAAGTTATTTTTTAACGAAAATATTTGACTGACGCTGAAAATGGGAATGTTTTCGTAAAAATAAACGGTGGTGTCGAATCACCTTAACTCTCCAATCATATTATACGCATACCATAAATAGTATATACAAAGCTGGGCAAGTTAACCGATTTTTTTAAATAGTTAAAGTTAAGTTATCCTAAAATAAAAAAATTGCTAAGCTAAGTTAAAGTTAGTTTTAAAATGTTACTGAATTTGAGTAACTAAGTTAAGTTACAAATTTTCTTGGAAATAATAACTAAGTTAAGTTAAAAGTTAAGTTACTTTTTTTTTAAATACCTTTAACTTACTCATAAACGATAACAAAATTAGTATCGGCACTATATCGGCAAATTTTCACTGCTTTTCCGATTCAAAATTTTTTTCACTCAGATTCTTATAGCATAGTGCTATAGTGGTAACGGGAGGGGGGGGAGTGGTAAATGAGTAACAATGTAACATACATCTTAACCGTTGTCATTTCATAGTAAATATAAACTTCCTAGTTATATTTCAAATAACTAATAAGTAATAAATAAATAATAATAATCGCTATTCACTATAATAATACTAATTAGTAATTACTATATGTCTATATTATAGTATATTATAGTAAATAGTAATAAATATAATAATATACCTACAATCTTCGGTAGATATACCTCCGTCCTGGTGGTTCTTAGAAAATATCAACGCAAATAATATACAGTTCATAAATCATAATAGGACAATTTTTGTAAATAACTTTTTACAAATAACTTTAATTTTAAAAAAATAACTGAGTTAAGTTACAACTATTTATAAAAAGAAATAACTTAGTTACCAACTAACTTAACTTTAACTTTAACTTTTTAACTAGTTACTGCCCAGCTTTGGGTATATTATATTCGATAACTAAAAAATACCATATTACAATATCATAAATAAAATAGTGATAGAATTGTTTGTTTTTGAATATTTTAATTATCTAGCTGGCAATGTTACTTTTGGGAATCATATTTATTGTTTTATTTGTTAATATTTACCTCATGATACCAACATGTATCATGGTAGTAATATTCTATAAGATTAGAGTTTTCAATTTACCTACGGCGAGAAGTATCAAACGGTTAGAAGGAATTAGTATGTATATTTTTCGTACAATAAATTAACAATCAACAATATTTAAAATTTTAAAACATATTTTCTATTTACATTATTATAAATAGCACGAAGTCCTGTATTTGCACATATGAAAGAAACATTACGAGGTTTAACAACAATAAGGGCATACAAAGTAGAACAAATTTTAATCAATGAATTTGACGAGCATCAAGTAAGTCAAAATTAGTTTCTATAAGTAGGTATATATAGTTCATAATATAATAAACAGTTAGGTTTTGAAGTCTGGACGTAAATAATAAATATACAAGGTTCCTAACAGTTGTTTTTTCAGAAACCATCATAATATATCTTAATTTATTGAAATTTTAATTTTATATTTTGAAAAATTGGATGTTGTTTATTGAAATTCTAAATATAATTTGTATGGACTTGAAACTTTTCTCCATTATTATTAACATATTTACTATAAAACATAATGCAATTATTTGGATTCATTTTAAGCTATTTATATTGTGTATAGGTACCTCTATATTCACGCACCGTGATAAACGATACATCATGCGTTGTTCTCAACCTAACTTAACAACCAGTCATATCGTATGAAATAAAAATAAAATAAATATTCGATTTGTTTTTGACAAAAATTAGTTCAACCTATCGTATTACTAATAGAAAAATAAATTACTTTTATTACATAAACTAGCTGTGCCATCGCTGCTTCGTCGCCCATAAAAAATGACAACTCTTAAAAAAAATGATTGTTAAACTTCTTTTGGCAACTCAGATACCCTGGTAGGCAATCCGACTACGTCGGTTTGCGGACAATGTAAGATTCAGCCACATTTTTAGGCAATGTGCGAAAATTCAATCTGATGCAAGCTTGTCCTAATCTGCCCGATAAACCAATGGAAACCAATAAAATAATAAATACTAATTTCTATATCCATTTTCATCGTATACAAATATATAATGATTTATCATTGAATTAAAATTCATTAACACATCTATTACAGTGATCTACTCAATATCGAGTTACACTTGACAGTCTACACCACTATCAGCAGAATGACTTTTCCTGATTTTTTTATAATTATTTTGTACAAAATTTAGGACTTACATTCCTCGGCTTGGAATATGTATATTTGTGCGAATCAAGCGTTCGGGCTCTGGTTGGATCTAGTCAGTATTACATACATAGGCATTGTAATATTCAGCTTCTTTGCTGTGGAAAATGGTAGGTCTGAAATGTTTGAACAAATAAATGTGATTTATTACCTATTCATAAAAATTGAATCAATAAAAATTTTTAATTTAGATCATGGAGGAAATATTGGTCTAACTATTACTCAAACGATTATGTTGACTTCAATCATCCAATGGGGAGTAAGGCAATTATCCGTCTTGGAAAACCAAATGACATCTGTAGAAAGAATACTTGAATACACAGATTTACCGCAGGAAGCTGATTTTCAATCTCCTTCTGGTACCTATATAGTACCAATTTATAAAATAATACACCAAATTATTGATTAATTACACTATTACAAATTATAATATAAATATATTACTGTTAATTAATTTTCTTCAGAGAAAGCACCTCCCAACGAATGGCCCTTTTCGGGAAAAATCGAATTTCGAAATTTTAATCTTCGCTATAGCCTGGATTCACCATATGTGTTAAAAAATCTCAATTTTCAAATACAGCCAATGGAAAAAGTAATTACAGTAATTTCAGTAAATTTTTTACTTGATATAATTATTATGTAATGTTTATTTAGATCGGAATCGTTGGCAGGACCGGTGCAGGTAAATCGTCCATTATTGGGGCATTGTTTAGATTTGCTCTCAACGAAGGATCTATCATTATCGACGATATAGAGATACATAAGTTAGGATTACACGACCTGAGATCTAAGTTTTCCATCATCCCCCAAGAACCAGTTTTGTTTTCAGGAACAATGCGAACGAATTTAGATCCATTTGACGAATACCCCGATCTGGTACTTTGGAATGCTTTAGATGAAGTAATTTCACTGTATATTATATTAATTGATATTTATTTCAATATTTCATTTTTCAGTTCACATTGAGTATGGATTGATTTCAATATGATCAAAAACTGATAGATTATTATTATTTCAGGTGGAACTTAAAACTGTCGTTGAAAGATTGCCTGGTGGTTTAAATTCAAAAATGTCTGCTTTTGGTTCTAATTTCAGTGTTGGTCAAAGGCAGTTATTATGCTTAGCTAGGGCTATAGTTCGAAATAATAAAATTATAATATTGGATGAAGCCACTGCCAATGTCGATCCACAGTAATAAATATTTCAATTAATTGTTGTCGTTAATTGTATACTGTCTCAACTCTTAAGCGTAATTGTTTATCTTCTACGTCGTTTTTTGTCTCACAGAACCGATGTGTTGATTCAAAATACAATTAGAAATAAATTCAAATTGTGCACAGTGTTAACGATTGCTCACCGATTGAATACCATTATGGATTCTGAACGAGTACTTGTTATGGACGCTGGCACAGTAGTTGAATTTGATCATCCGTATAATTTACTGAAAAACAAAGACGGATTTTTATACAAAATGGTAGAACAAACTGGAATAATTACATCTGAATTATTGCATACCATGGCTTCCGAGGTATTGTATAATTATTTATTTTTCTTAACTGCATTTTTATGACTTTTACTATATATTTGTTTAGAGTTTTAACGTTCGGACGAAATGAAAATCTGCAGTCAATGTCAAAAGGGTATAGATTCAGACATGCGGTCTTGAATAAAAAAATATATTTAATATTCTTTCATAAGTGTACTTGGTAAATATTATATTAACGTGCCTTTTATAGGATCTGTGATGATAATATAAATTCTTATTTTATTACAAGAATTAAAAATCGTTTTAATTTTATAGTTATATATATATACCAATAATGTACCTATTGTACCTACCTAACGTCGTTTTTAAATACAGTGAAACTTCCATATACCTACTTATCGACCTTCCAATTAACACGATTTTCAGTTTAACGAAATAATTTTGAGAACGAAACCAAATTATAACTAAATTTATTCAATTCTATTCAACAAAATTTTCTACAGTACGAATTTTTTTCATGCCCCGCGAGACTTCGTAACGTGGAAGTTTCACTGTAATTTTATTTCGATAGTGGATTTTATCATGTCACACTTCGGGTTATCAGTACGAAAACAGAATTATGTAAATTTATCTTATTGCCTAAATAATTAGAAAAAAACACCTTACAAGTATAAAATGTTTTATACATACAGTATCGTTGAAAGTGTTTTCGTATCGTTAATGATCTATAAGCGATACCTAATAATGTGTTACGGTGCAGCAGAGTAAACAGAGACATACTTTTTGGGAAATTCACTGATTCGTCGCTGCAGTAATGTATTGGCATCGACTATGCTTGCACTCTGTTTCAATTAGCCATTTAAAAAAGTATAAATCGATTTTGATATTTGTAGTCGATTGGGGACGGACGGCGAGTCTCTCATCAGACCTCCGGGCCGCCAAGTGTGAGCTATATTTTAATTTTATAACGTAATTCATTATAATACGTGTGTGTGTGTGTGTGTGTGTGTGTGTGTGTGTGTGTGTGTGTGTGTGTGTGTGTGTGTGTGTGTGTGTAATGTAATACGATAATGTTATTATCATAAGCATATAACGGTATCTGGTATAGGAAATCCGTTTCGTGGGAGGTGCTCGGACGACGATATCGTCTTCATTAAGGGCTCGCGATATAATTATCCGCCGGCGGCCCTGACCACAATAATATTGTTATTATTATAATACACACACGTTGTACACGACCAGCGCAGGCACGCGTGTATTATTATTATTATTATTATTATTTTTTTTTTTTTTACTTACACGAAACGGAGAGTTTTGCTTATAATTTATTATACTGGATAGCCCCCGGGGTCACGTGCGTACCTATCTAATGTTATAGAGTTATCGAGAGGACGTTACACCGGACGTTGTTTACCGTCTCCATCTCGGGGGGGCAGGTCTACGGAATTGACGGGCTACGACGAATATCTGGTTATGAAATTAGAGTAAAATCGCGCATCCGTCGGCTCGGGAGAACAGAGAATAGCAACCGAATATCCCGCAATCTAACATAATATGGTTATATTATTTAAATAATTGAGTAAAACAATAGTATGGATTGTGATTTTCGAACACTCGACTATTTGAACTCGAATTTATTGTATTAATAATTACTAATATTACTATAAGTACAGCCGTTCAGGTTATTATTACATAAATACGTATATTTTTGAGCTGGACTATAGGTACCAATTTAAAGTGTATACTTTATATATTAGCCCGCACCTACCTACAATGAAGCAACATTTTGCAGGGAACTACTGTGCATCCAATGGTAGATCCATGGGGAGGGCAAAGGGGTCATTCCCCCCCCCTAATCGCCCTAATTTTCCTCTGTGTTTAGCCAATTTTGGAACTTTCAGTATACTTTCCCCCCCCCCCTATGCCCTCCCAAATTTAAGCCCTGGATCCGCCATTGTGTGCATCTGTGCCACACTACTCTTTTCATCAAAACTTTAAATACCTACCACCATTTATAATATATTGCTTGTGCAACATCTTATTTTTACATATTGTATTGTTCCGAAGTTTGAACAATATTCTATTTCTGAATATGAAACTAAAAATGTATTTTATCAGTTATCACACAAAAAAATTAAAATCTTAAAAATATGTAAAAAAAATATGCTAAAATAATCTTAGTTTAAGTTAACAAAAAAAATTGTTGTTTTTTATTACTAACATTTAGGTAAGCGAAATATTTTCAAAAATGTTAATAGTATTTCAAATATCGAGTGGTTCATAATAAAATAATAACCTGGTATATTATACTGAGTCAAAGTGTCAGACGAAGCTGCTTGGTGAATTTAAATGGGGGCTATAATTACAGCTTATTACTTAAAATGTTTCCGGTACACAACATTTATTTTAAAACAATAGGGCTTAACAAAACTCCGGGGGTGAGGGGCGCCGCATAGCCATTGATTTTTCTCGTTTATAAATCAATTTTAACTATTTTTAAATTTTGTTCAAATTTCTAATTCTTTTAAACCAGTTTTATATTGTAGTACCTATTCTACAAGATCAGTGCCTTATAGTTATTGTAACTATTAAAGTCAAACCCTCTTTGGATATTATTTACAGATGTTTGAATTGCTTATAACATAATTTTAATTGAGTTTAAACGACGATTAAGTCTCAGAGTGGTGCTAACCATTAAAATTAGTTGTGATGTTGCCACGCTAATACCAAACGTATAAAACAAAATATTGATTGATTTAAGTTTTTTCAATAACAGATTTCACTCGTTTCGGATTATTTAAGACAACAATAATAATTCATATTATTATCGGATAGGACGTTAAAATAATATAATATATCGTTGTTTCGAGTGCCCCATACATAATACTAACATATGTATAATAATTAATATAATATGAGCCAATAAATTATAGGATTGGACGATAAGAAAGTAAAATATACGACATTACTGTTGATCGCGACCCGATATTGTTTGAGAAACGATAGTAATAATTAATAATTATATCGATGTAATCTCATACTTCCGTTGCGAGTCCCGTCCATGATGTATACTTTCCGTGCAGCTTGCTCGAGGCAATTTGCCGGGAAACCAATACGGATTACAATTAATACAAACCACACGTACACAGAGAGTGCAGCATAAAATAATTATGTGCATTTAGAATACGGTATTGGGTTGTGTATAGTTTTGATCTACAGGTGTCTGCAGCCCGTCCACTAAACACTGTTGCGTTCAGTCTGAACCGCCCTTAACTTAAAACTTTTGAAATATTGAAATGTTTAGGCAGCGGTGCTCGAAAGGCTTCAAAGGAACTATCACATACAATAATTTCGTTCAATTTTTAGTAACTTAACGTGAAAGTATTATTCCTTTTTCGCGTGAAGTAACATAATATTGAAATTTCGATTTCTGCATTTTTTAGAAGAACAAGAACGATTTTATTTGTTCCATTTTTCGATCATTTATTCTTATATATAGGGAATTTAAATCATTTTTGGACCAAAAGTTTTTAGAGATTTATTCGATATAATGAGCTGTATAGTTAAACCTATGTACGACAATATACGATAATATTGACAATGTTTACAAAATGTCAAGTCAGTCTCGGCGGTCGTACCGGTCTTCACTTATGTATGAAATAACCAAATTAAACATTTATAAAACGAAATAACTACATGATTAAACAATTTGTTACTACATAACATCATATTAAAAAAATTTAAAAATTATTGAGGAACGAAAAATGTTCTTTATTTGAGAACGGGGAAAGTAACTATAGTTCCTTTCTTCAAGCCTGAGACGATAGAAACGATATTTTAGTTCCCTCCTAACTGCAAGATTAACGTGAACATGAACTAACTAATTTTTCAAAGGAACTTTCCGAGCACCGTGTTTAGGTTAACCGAAACTGGTTTAGAAAATTTTGAACTTGCCCGCCCCCTCCAGTTTTGAGTCACGACGTATAAATAGGACATCGAGGGGCTTCTATTCGGTAAAATGTAACGAAATCGTACTCGTATAACGTACACACAGCAGTGGCGAGGTTAGCTAAGCGTGCAATATTATTAAGGGAGTTAAATGACGGTCAGTGATGTGCGCATATGGTCGAAAAGTACCCACAATATTGTTTTTGACAAAACTACATAACCTACATTTTAATTACAGTTTCAAGACGTGTTTTTTTTTATTTCAACGAAAATTTTAATCGAATTTGTCGAAAAACTGATGTTGCGTAAACATTCCTGTTTTAATTGGGTAGCGTATGTCTTTCCCGACTATTTTTTAAAGTACTAGGAAGTGATAGTTTTCTTCTTTTCATGTTCCTATATTGGCTATATAAGTATCAAGTAGATCCAAAAATTCACTATAAAACTTAAAACTATTATACGTTCATTATTTGATATTTATACGAAAACAAATTTTTGGAAAAATTTTTTTTTATTTAGATTACATAAAAACTTTATGTGTAGTAATTTAAAAAGGTCCTACCTATATCAAAAATGCAGTGCAAGTTCGTAAAATCTTTTTTTTCGATATCACAGACGTTGATTAATACAAGTGCAACTAGTGTAAGGCTCTAAGACCTTAGCAGGGCCGTAGACACGGGGGGGGGGGGTAGGGGGTCGAGAAATCGAGTGAATATCCAATGTTGTAAAAAATTTGAATTTCAAACGCTCATAAAAATTTAATTTGACTTTCTTATGGACCTTTTTTTTTTTGATAAATGTAGATAATCTTATGAGAAATCTTGTATTACGTTTTCAAATCTTAGGTTTAAAAAGAAAAATTTTTACGAATTCTTAACTCAAAATAATTTGCTAATTTTCGTAATTTTCCCATATTTTGTCAATTTTTGAACTTTAAATGCTTATAAAAAAAAATTGTGACTAAGGATTTTTAATATTTTTCATCTGCCTTTGAAACAATATACTAGGAGCCTTCTATTAAATTTTCAAGCTTTCGCAACCAACAAATAAAATTTTATTGATATTTTTAGAAAAAAAACTAAAAAAAAATGGAAAATAAAAATGTGCCTAAAAAGTTCAAAATAAATCAAAATATTTTGAAAATGTTATCGTGTATAGAAAATGCAAATATAAACAACCAGT